GAAAGGGAAATTGTTTGGAAAAGAGTCATCAGTTCAGAATAAGCCTTGGGCAAGGCTTGATCCAGTAGACAGACAACTTAGCTTTGGGCAATGTTAAGAGTCATGCACAGCAGTAGATTTAAATTAAATTGTGCACTTTTTAAATATGGAAAAAATATCATTCTATTCAAGATTTGGAGCTAAAAATTAAGGAAAAAATATTCTAAAAAGTTTAGAATAAGCCAAAAATTAAGAAAAATAATTCTAATAAGAAAAAACCCTAGTCCCCTTTTGCTATATAAATCATGGCTGCCAAGCAAATCCTTCATTTTTGCTTCTTCCCGACATTGCACACAGTAGTTTCTGCTGCTTCTGTAATTTTTTTTCTTCATCTTTCTTTTTTCTTTTGCTCTTTAAGAACTAATTTGTGTTAAAAAGTTTACTATGGGTGCCTGATTTATTTATTTTTTCTATTTGAGATTTGATAAATTCCACTGATATATTTGTGAGATCGAATTGGTTTAATCTATATTTTATTTAAATTTTGATATTTATTTATTTTTCTATACCTACACATAATTGTGGTTTTGAACTCGTTTGAACAAGGCTCATTGAACGTTGGAGAGACAGTAAACAACTAGTCTAACTCTCAAATTCGTAATTATTTGAGTGATTTCGTCACCTAGTAGCAATTAGTATCGCACTGAGGAGGTAAGTAATCTAGTTGATCGGTTCACACGGATGAATATGACAACTTGAATTAGGTTCTTCTAGGGCTCAAGATCGTTGACAAGTTAAATCTTGTAAATGTTCTCAGAGCTATTTGGCAGTGAATAACCAATTAATAAATGTTTTTTGGTTGGTTTAGAAATAAAGAAGAATTTGTTAGCGGAATATTGTCGACAACTATAACTAGTTTGTTAAAATTTAAATAAAATAAATCCTTATATCTATGATCAATTATGTTACTAAAGCTAGCTACTTTATCAACTATAAATTTTTTGTTATAATTGTTTTAGTTTTTAATTTATAACTAAGAGTTTATTTAATATTATTCTGCTCACTGTTAATTTTATATTTGCATATTAGATTCCATAAAACTCTCATTGTTTGCTTTTTATTCGTTGGTCAAGGAAGAATATTAGTTTTGAATTTCTAGTGGATTTGACTCTTCTTATCACTACTTCAATATTATTTTATTAGTTAACAGACTTTTTATTTTTGGTAGAATCATCACCCATCAAATTTTGGTGTCGTTGCCGGGGAGTTGAGATTAATTAATTTTTTTTTTCTTTTTATGACTATATCTAATCATAAAGAATCTCTTTTTTACGAACTGGAAATCAAGATAACTGCAAAAAGTTTAAGGAAACAGACTCAGATAAAGGGAAGAATGTGTCAGCAGGATACGATTTTTGCACACAGCAGCGTAGCCATTGAAATTGAAGCAAAAACCAAGCAGATGGCTGAGGGATGTAGTGTAAAACACACTCAAAAAAAAAAAAAAGAGAGCACGAATAATAATCTACTCCTCTAGTCAAATAACTACGAGTAGCATAAGTAGTTACTTAAAACTATGACCAACTAAGTAACCGAGTACATTTATTATAAACATTTGCTCTCGCATTAAAAAGTTAATAATATTTCAAGCAAGTAAAAGTGCTCAAGTTTTTCTATTTTTGGCATGAACTAATTGCATGAATCCTTATATCTGGACAAGTTTAGTGATTGTTCTACTAGGTATTGGCTATTCTCCTTAATAAATTTTTACGTGCTAAATTTACAAACTTTCTCATGTCATG